TTTTTTTTGGTACCAGGGATTGAACAACTCTGGTCCTTGTGCCTGCACAGCAGACGGCGAAACCACTGAGCTACTAAATCCCTGGCCCTTGTATCCATATATTTTAGTGTGTTGCTAGCAACCACAGTAGAGCTAGAATTTTTTAAGGTCTGATCTAATGATATTGTATTTTAAATATTTATTTATTTTTGTGGTACTGGGGATTGAACACGGGGAACACTGAACTACATCTCCAACTCTGTGTGTGTGTGTGTGTGTTTATTTTTGTCTAACCTTGGAAAAATGTAAGTTTTTGTTTCTGTCTTTTTTTGGCACTGGGGATTGTTTTTTTTGTTTTGTTTTGTTTTTTCGTACCGGGGATTGAACTCAGGTCCTTGAGCTTGCGTAGCAGGCATCGAAACCAGGTACTGGGGATTGAACTCGGGTCCTTGTGCTTCCGAGGCAGGCGAAGGAACCACTGAGCTAAATCCCCAGCCCTGTTTTTTGTTTTGTTTTTTAAGAGAGGGAAAAATTTATTGAGAGAAAGATAGTTTCTAAGAGACGGAAGGGGGACCAGAAAGTGAGTTGCCCTTCCAACTCTTTTTCTTTTTTCTGGTACTGGGGATCAAACTCAGGACTTTGCGCTTACGAGACAGGCAGCGGAACCACTGAGCTAAATCCCTGGCCCCTTCTTCCAACTCTTTAAATGTTATTTTGAAGCCAGGCACGGTGTCTGCACGCCTGTAGTTGCAGCACTCAAGAGTCTGAGGCAGGAGGATCATCTGGAGTTTGAGGTCAGGCTGGGCTACATAGTGAGTTCAAGTCCAGCCTGAACTACAAAGCAAGATCCAGTCTCAAAATTTTTTTTTTTCAAATTTTGAGACAGAGTCTCACTAAGTTGCCTGTGGTGGCCTCACACTTGATTCCGTTTGCCTCAGCCTCGGACTTAGCCAGGACTACAGCTGGGCACACTGGGCTGGCCTGTACTTTAAGCAGTTGGATTCATTTACAAATGTATGATTCTGACGTATTTATTTTAACCATCTTATTTTTTTGTGCTAATGATCAAATTTATTTTTTGGTTTTTTCTTTCTTGCATTTTTGATTTTGTTTTTTTGGGTACCGGGGATCAAGGGGCTCAAACTCGGGTCCTTGCATTTGTGCAGCAGGCAGTGAAACCACTGAGCTAAATCCGCAGCCCCTCCTTTCTTGCATTTTTAAAGAATTGATTGGGGTTTTTTGCTTCTGTTTTTTTCCCCCTCTACCATTGGCTTGGGAACTATGAAACCAACCCAGTGAGAACCTGAAATACCCCCGCTCTTAGTTCCTGAATAACCTCTCCAGCCCTAACCTACTCCATTTACTCCTGGTTTCTGAGTAAGTGTCTAGACTTCACTTGTGCTTATGTTGTTGTTGTTATTGTTGTTGTTGTTTGAGACAGAGTCTCACTATGCAGCCCAGGCTGGCTTCAGACTTGTGGTGATCCTCGTGCTTTGGGTGAAAGGAGTGAGCGATTAGCCCAGAGAATGATCAACCTACTGCTCACAGAGAGCAGCAGGTTTTTATTGTGCCGGGGTGGCTAACGTCCAGTCCAGTCCTCTCTGTAGGCCGGGGGCGTGGTCTCAAAAGATGTTGTGAGCTGGGGATTTACCTCAGTGGTGCCACCCCCTGCCTCTAAACCACAAGGTCCCAAATTTGATCCCTGGTACCAAAAAAAAGATGTTTCTTGTGATAGACTTGGACCACCAGCTGGTCACACGTGGGCATCCTTCCTAGGAGCTGCTAAATGTCCATGTGTCTGGTGCCACTGTCCTCACAAAACATCCTGGCCTTGAACTTGATGGATGAAGAAGGGCTCGACTTTGCTCGGGAGCTGCTGGTGTCACCATCCTGCACACACATCCAGTCCTGCTGGTGGGGTAGAAGGTCTTTCAGTGCTTGAGGTGCTGAAAAAGCACAAAGGTGGGGTAGAAGAGACACACACCAGCTCCACCAGGCAATAGGCCAAGCTAACCCTGTGTCATAGTCTCAGGCAGAACGTTTCTTGCACCATCATTATGTCTGTGTGCAGAGCTGCATAGACTCTGACCCTCGGGTTAAGGCACCAGAGGGACAGACACAATATGAAGTCACCCATCCACAGCCCCAAGGGTAGAGAGAGTTGCTGTTCTCAGCAAACGCAGCCTTCAGGTCCCTGAGAAGGAACTGGAGTAGCTGTTGCCATAATCCAGACAGCAGAGGTGCTTTCAACAGCAAAGCTAGCGGGAAAATAAAACTGCTTTGCCCAGCTACGTGACCCCTAAAAAAGAGCGATTTAGGGTTGAATAAGCGCAAATGAAGCTAGAAGGCATGGTTTTATCATGCTGACAGTTTCTCATGTGCAAGTAGTATGCTAGTGTGGCCTCACGTGGTCTATTGAAACATGCCATGCTGCAAGGGGAACTCTGGAGTTTCTGGGTCCTCCCAGGCTTCTGTCCCACTCCTGTCCCGCCACGGTGGCCCCTGTGTATTGGTTGATGGCTGGAGGCATCCTCTTGAGCCTGGGGCACAAAGATCCACAAACCCTGTCCTTGGAGAGGTGGATCTGAGACCCCATCTCCTCTTGTGTCTCCAGATGCTTGGCCACCTTGTGAATAAACTCTTTTGAAAAACTCATCAATCATTTTGGTGATGCTCATGCTATTGTCACACAGCCAGCCTCAGTAACAAGTGCATGGTCCACATCTACTCCTTCAGTGGTTACCGGAGAGGGTTTTATGTATTTAATTTAACAAAGGCTAAGATTAGTCCAGCATTTCCCTGTTTTCAGACAAAAAAGGGCCTTAGAGCACTTTGTCCCTGTTCTGCTCCTCCTGATCTGTGTGCTGTCATCACTATTCTGGAGACTAAACCAGTATTTAGGGTGTCTTTCCCCCCCTTACCAGAGATCAAACTCAGTACCTTGCACCTGCCAGGCAGGTGCAGCACCACATTCCCGGCCCGAGGATTTCTTTCATGTGTCTCAGTCTTCAGGAAAATCTTCCTTTTCCACCAAAAGATTCTTGAGAAGTTTCTGTATTCAAGGTCCGCTGGTGCTCGGCTCTATTATCTACTCTTCTGAATGTCTCTACCCTCATTCCCAAGAGACAACTCACTGGCCCATGATTTTAGGTAGACAGATATTTTTCTCACCACTCTAAACATATCATTCCCGTCTTCTGTTGCTATGGAGACCTCAGCTGCCAGATAACTGTCTTTCCTTTGAGATCTTAATTTTTGTCTTTGGTGTTCTGCAGTTTTCATTTATTCATACTACAACTTTTTTTTTTTTTCAGTACTGGGGATCAAACCCAGGGGCTCTCTAGCAGTGAGCTAGATCTCCGGCTCTTTTTATTTAGAGCCAGGGTCTCATCCAGGTTGAACTTGAACTTGTGATCCTCCTGCCTCAGCCTCCCTCAGTGCTGGGATGACAGGCATGCACCATCAAGCCCACTTAATTCCAGAACTTTTATAAAGCATTAGTGGGGCCAGCACTATTCTCAGTGTGAACTTACAGTAGCGAATGAACCCTATCCGTTCTGAACAATGTTCTTTTCTAACGACTGTAAATGTGGATTTCAATTTATTCTGCCTGGGGACTGTTTGTCCCTGAATCTGAAGCTCTCTTCTTTCCACTTTAGAAGACAGTGTGCTGTTTCCTCTTTGAATGTCCCTTCTTTCCCATGGAGCCCATCAGGAACTTTGCTTTTGCATTGTGGTGTTCACCTGCCTTTGTTTAACCTCTCCTTCACATATTCTGTCTCTTTTTGCTGAATTCTGAGTAGTTTCTTCATATCTGTCTTTCAGGCTACCTACCAGTTTTCTCTTCGGGAGTTGTCAGTTCTCTGAATAAACCATCTATGGGGTTTCTGTTTTGATCATCATGTCTTTCATATACTGTTGCTTTGTGGGTCCCTGTGGCTCCCCAGTCTCCATGTCATCATGTTCCCAGTCGTCCGTGTGCCTTTGTTGAAGACCCATCTTTCTGGCCCAGCAGCCCTGCAAAGAGCCAGGAAAGAGGTCAGTTTTAAAGTCCTGCACTGGGAGCCCTTGGTTCTCGGCAGTGACAGGAGGAAAGTGCTGTCTGTCAGACCAGCGATTATGCATTCTGGGTAATTAGTATTCTTTTGAAAAAAGAGTTTGAAATGAAATAGATTTTTAAAACCACTAAGGTCCCTTCAAGCTCAGATCTGAGATTCCAAGTTTCCATCTCAGGGATGATGTTTTCAGAATAACCCGTGGGCTCTGCAGAAGGTCCCTGGACTTCCAGGCGTGCACACTACACCCAAGCACCTGGATACCTGGTGCCTCTGAGCCCTGTTCATGCCAGGGAGGAAGACCTCGACTTTGCTTCCTGAACATATTCCACTTTTTTGAATACTGATTTGACAGAACTGATACTAAGTGAACAGATGCTTGGATGGGCAGATTGGACCCCCTCCCAGTAATTACACAGTAATACAGGCAATGAGGGTCACACTTATTGTCTATGTCTACATATGCCATTTTCGATCCTCACTGATCCCCGAGGCAGTTGCAGTTGTAATCCCCATTTCTCAGATCAGGAAACTGAGGCACAGTGAGATGCAGACTGTCCTCTTACACAGCTGGTCGTAGGGTGTGTTTGGGATTTACACCAAGGCTCACTGGCTCCAGAGCTGGTTGGGAGGAAGACTGTGAGAGCAGGATTTCTGGCTATCCTGGAAACTGAGGATTGGTGTGAGGGAGGGCCCAGTTTAGTTTGGGCTGACATGACCAGGCAGTGACCTCCTCTAGGGCAGTTTCCCCGGCTTCATCATCTGGAAGGCTCAGCTTTATGAAAACAAGATGCAGAAGGTTTACAAACTGGACAAGCGACCTGCTGTCCAGAGCAGGGGTGAGGTGAGTGACCAGGTGAGAGGAACTGGCTTCATGGGGGTGAGTTCCTGGCATGGCAGATACTGCAGACCCCGCTTCTGAATCCCCATGGACACAGGAACTTGTGCCATAACAAAGAACACAGTGGTGAGAACGATCAGCTGGAAGCCGCACTGCCCACCCTTCCTGCACCTCCCGTCCCTGCACTTTGCAGCCTCACAGGCCCCAGACCTTCTCTGCCTTCAAAATGCATCTTCGAGCTGGCCACGCATCACCATCACCATCCCCAGCCCAGAGCCCCGCCCTTTTAGAAGGAAGTCAGATCCGTGGGCCTGGTTCTGCCCCACACCCACCAGGGGCTCTGTCTCACTCAGCAGAGCCAAAGTCCTCATGGTGAGCCCGGACCCCATCTCCTCCTCCACCCTGAGACAGGCCTAGTGGCCCGGGACTGTGTGAAGCCGGTCTTTCCACACACAGGCCTCTGCTTGGCCCCCAAGCCTCTCCCTCACTTTCTCATTCCCTCTGAAGCCTGAGCTATTCCTGACATGGACTCACAGACATGGCAGGTCTCTTCGAGCCCAGAGAAGTAGACTTGAGTGTGGGTCCTGTTTCTCTCCGGCCACAAGCCTCCTGTCCCAAGACTGCTGCAATGGTGAACTTGGCCTGGGGCCTTTGCATCCGCCCCCAAGAACCAAACCTGGCACTGCTGGAGGTTCTGGGAGGAGGCACAGGAACACTGTCCTGGTGTGAGGGCCACTCTGTGGGCTGCTTGTCTCACCAAGGGAGCAGCGCTCATACAGACAGGTCAGCTCTGCTCAACAGCCAGGCTGCATCCACCTGTTCACAACTATAGCCTCTTATCCTCCTCTACGGCTGTCCCTTCCCTTGGGGCTCATGTCAGTCTGTGCCCTCCTGATAAGGCGACTCCTAGGGTCTGTTCCCCTGGGGAGCAGGCACTTGGGGTCCCACTGTGGCGCCAGGCTCTTGCCTGGCACCTTCTCAGCCTCTTTTTGATTGACAGATGCCCACAGGAGAATGTGGCACCCCTAGAAAAGCCCAGGGGACAGCAGGTTGTGAACGGCCAATTCAGCCACTGTGGGGTCGGTCAATCCTGACCCTTGGACCCAAGGAGCTCAGACATGAGTCATCTCTGTGGTCTGACCACAGGGAGATGCAGGCCTTGCCTCCTGGCTCGGGACAACCCCACAGTGAGAGAGCAACACTGCTGTGCTTGGGGTCCCCTCCTGGGCCAGGCCAACCTAAGCCCAAACCTCATGCTCACCCGAGGAGGTGAGAGCCTTTTCTAGGAGACACTGCAGGAACTCAGCTCCTAAGCAGCACAACAGGACTCAAACTAAACCTGGGTCACCTTGTTAGTGGGGCTGGGTCTTAACCAGCAAAGTCCTAACACTGCAAGGATCGGCAGCACCCCAGTTCTGTGCATCTTTGATAAAAGATCCCAGACAAGACACACAGGCCATCCCACAGAGTGTAGGTAGCGCTTATTGCAAAACGACAGATTTTCAGAGCGAGCAAGACAGAATGCACCGTCAAACACGAAGGCAGGCAAGCGCCAAGGTGGCGGCTGCACTAAATGAGGCCTCGGGTTGCATGCTTGTAACTGGATCTTTTAAGGAATATGCTTTCCTTTTTCCAAGGCCACTGTTCTCGTACAAATAAAATAGGCTGTTTACCTAAATCAGAGAAGGAAGTCCCAGTCTACTCTCTAGGCAGATGGGTCCATTTAGTTTGAGACCTTGAGGTTTTTCTAACCCCTCACCCACTGGCTGGACTTTACATGGGCCCTGGACCTTAGCAGCACACTGGGCTGTGTGTGTCCTGTCCTTGTGAGCTAAAGCTGGAAACCACAAGGTTCTATGAATCGTATCCATAGCTAATGATCAAGAAAGTGAAGCAAAGAAAACACGGTTTTGCTTTGCAATTAGCCAGGAGCCGCCTGTCTCCAGCCTGCTACTGACTACTTTCTGCCTAACGACCTGAGTCAGAGAAAGGATGCACCTGTCATGCGGACCTTGGGCTCCTCTGTTGTGGCACTGGAGACAAAGCAGGCCCAGTAAGGGGCCCCTGCTTCCTCCAGCTGTATCAGATCAACCAGGTAGTTCAGTCCGGGGTTCCCCTGGGGACTCAATGAGGGAAACTGTCTCAGGAATGGCAAACCAGGCGGCCACCCAGCCGGAAATAAAACATGGCTCAGGATGCAGCCCAGTCATGGAATCCCTGAATTTTTAATGCCATGGCTCCAAGAGGGTGGCTAGAGGCTGTGGCAGGTCCTCTGGAGCCCAGGCCCAGGTCCCCAGCCACCAAGTGGCCAGGCAGTGAGAAGCATGGGGACCTCAAGCCTGTGCCAGCTGCTCCTGGAGCTAAGCGTGACCCACAGCTCTCAGAGCTTGGGCTGAAGGGTCTGACAAGCTGGGGGGAGGTCCAGGCAGGGGTCACTCCGGCCACACTCGGACAACTGGGCCTAAGGCCTACACGGTGCAACTGTGGGGTTGGAGGAGAAAAAAGAGGCAACAGTTCCAGCATGGGGACCAGTGGGGTGCTCTGGAGGGACAGAAGGCCTCAGAGAGTGAGGACTGCTGAGTCCACGGGACTGGGAAGCCATGGGGATCCTGAGCCCTTGGGCACAGGAGTCAGCAACCCCTGAGATGGAGACAGGAAGACAGTTCCGTCTTAGGTCTAGTAAGGAAGGTCAGAGGCGTCCCCAGGATCTCCCAGGCACCAGGACTGTGATGTGGCCCAGGTGGGGCCAGCTTCAGTCCCCTCAGGCATCTGGACCCCTGGCCTCCCGGCCTGCGAAGGGGTCTGCAGGCTCCTCCGTGGAGTCAATCGTCTGGTAGGCACTGCGTTCCTGAGAAGGCCTAAGGAAGTCTGGGAGGACACGGGAAGAAAGCAAAAATGAGGGGTGAGGACTGGACACATTCAACAGAGCCCAAACCAGATCCAGCCTCTGCCCACCTGAGCACCCTGATGCTGTGGACGGGCGCTGCAGCCCGACACCAAGCTGTTGGCACGTATTACCCTGCAACCCTCCCGTGTCCCTGTGGAGCCACTGCTTTTACTGTCTTCACTTTCCCGGTGAGGAAAGCGAGGGCTGATGGTACAGACGCACTTGCCGAGATGAGCCTGGGACTCACAGCGCCAGAGCCCCTCAGGTAGCCTGAGCTCAGGAGTGGGACCAGGACGTCCAGGATTCTCCCCAGCTTCCTCCCAAGCAGGAGGACACCATATTCCATATCCGGAGGGCCCCTGCGCATGGTACTGGACCTGCACCAGAGCCAGGGCTGGAGTGCAGGGCCCTGGCAGCCCCATGTACCTCACTCCTGTCATCCACTCTGCACATCCGTGCGGGGACCCTGAACAAGACTCAAGGGCTGCGGGCCTCAGTTTCCTCATGTGTCTGATGGGCAGACTGTTCCTGGTCCCCCTCAGCCCAGGACAGGTCTGTGCAGCGCCGAGGTCAGCCAGGGTGGGTGGTGGCTGCAGGCTGCTCCTGCCCTTGCCCTGTGTTCCCCTAGGCTGGTTACAGCCTACCCTAGGTCTGTCTCCCCCCGGAAGTGAAGGGCAGATGTCCACACCCACCTCTTTGCATGCCCAGAGAGGGTGAGAGGAAGGGTCCAGGGGCAGGACTCCAGGGCCAGGCCCAGGTGGGGACACAGGGGAGAAACTGCCCCAGAGCCCACAGGAACTGACTGCACCTAAGCCTCACGGGAAAGGTCACACTCCGGCCTGTGCCTCGGGCCCCGGGGGCAGGGAGGCAGGAGCAGCGAGCTGAGGGCCTCACCGGAGTGGAAGTGGAGCTCACCCCCACGCTCACAGTACATGTGGTGCACCAAGTAGCAGGAGAATGGCTTGAGCAGTAGGCTGAGGATGGCCATGCCGGCGCTGAAGCGACTCGTGTCCGAGATGGTGTTCCGTGGGTAGAAGATGCTGATGTGGATGATATCCAGCAAGATGGTGGCCAGCAGGCCCCCCAGAAACTACAAGACACGGCACCATGAGTTTATGAGCACCGACACCCCGTCGTGCTCCTGGGTGCCCCTCATCTCATGCCCTACTGCACGCATCCTCAGGGTTCGCTGGCAGGACACAGTTGAGCTGGCAGGCAGGGCCTGTGGATGCACCGCCTGCCTCCTGTCAGCCTGGGGCCTAAGACTTGTTTCCAGAACCTCCAAGTGCTAAGGTCCTGTGGGATTCAGCCAATCTGTCCCCACTACAAGGAAACCCCCTTCTCCACCATCCTGAGGCAGCAACTTCCTGGCAGGAAGAGCTCGTGCTGGGTGCTGGGCAGCCCCCTGGCAGTGCCAACTCTGACTTCATGAAGCAGTGGCTTCTCCTGTCACACCCTCCCCCTAAAAGACAGCCCCTGGGCCGGGCCAGACCATGTGGCAGTGGTCAGTCTGGGCACTTTTGGCTTGGGGAAGACAACAGTTTGGGGTTCTCTAGGCCAGGGCCCCAGGCTACCTGAGACACATGGGAGCGGCCATACAAAACTGTGGAAGACAAAATGGGGCCACAGGGAGAGGGGAGAAGACTGGGAGAGCAGGGCCACAGCTCACCCGAGCCCGCTCCTGGCTCACCATGCTTATTGCGTCCACGGAGTCCGGCTGAGCCACAGACCACACGCCCAAGGCCAGGATGGTGAAGTTGGCCCAGGAGTAGGGGCCCTCAAACAGGATGCTGCCCCTGCAGGAAGAGGCACCACCAACCGTGAGGTGGCCACCGGCCTGCGGGTCCCCTCCCCCCCACTCCAGGTCTCAGGCCTCCTCTGAGAACAGATCAGCCTTGGAGGCCACTGGGCTGTGGGTAGAGAGGTTGGCAAATCCCACAGCTCCACCTCCCAGCGGGATCCTCACCCTGGCCACTTCCTGTTCTGCCACATTGGTGGCCACAGCCACCTCATACAGTTCTCTGGGCTGCTACTCCTGCCCCCTACAGGCTGCTCCTGGAATAGCAGGCTGTGTGTAAGCCAGACACTCCTGCCCTCCTCAGCCTTCGGCACAATCTGCAATAAACTATGCGATCGCTATCTGCCCGAAACAACCCCACTCCCGCTTGCCTGCCAGCCACTGCCCTGTGTGTGCTCTGCCCAGGACACTTGGCCTTTTGATCCCTTTGGCCCAGGCTCAAATGTTAACTAAGACCCCTTCTCTCAGGGGCTGGGTTAAGTATCACCTCCCTGACACACAGCCCAGTCTGGTTCCTTAGTGGTTTGTTGGTTAATCCAAAGGAAATGAAAGTTAACACTTGCAAGACACTCCTAGGACTCTAAGTGCTTTAAATTCACTCCTTTCAGTGTGGTTATGTTAACAATGACTCCAGGAGGGAGGCATTGAGGCCCAGAGAGGTTAAGTAATTTGCCCAAAGACACACAGCTGCTAAACCAGGATGGGATCCCAACAATCTGACTCCAGAGGCCATGCTTTTTTTTTTTTCCTTTTTGCAACCCTGGAGACAGAACTCAGGGCCTCATGGATGCTAGGCAAGCGCTCTACCCCTAGCCCTGAGGCCATGCTCCCGCCCACCCTGCTCCTCTTGGTTACCTTGGCTACCTTATTTCCCACTGTGCGCTTCGCTTCACAGGCATGAATGACATTCAGAGTGTAACAGGCAGAAGACTGCAAGAGCAGGTAGGTAACTGTAAAGTGTGATTACCCTCGGTCATCTTTGACTAAATCTACTCATCTTTTGATCTTAATACAACAGGTCCCTGGGCCCCACCCAGACAAATCTTGGGGGCTGGGACTGAGAAATTTGCCTTTTCATTCTGCTCCCACTGCTCCTGTTACTCAAAGCTGTTAACGAATTCACTGCACTTCAAAGTCTACAAAAAGCAGTTGCTTCCAGTCCCAGCCTGGCAGAAAATTCTCCCCAGAAGTGCCACAGACACAACCGAACGTGGTGGTGGGGGCCACTGAGCACCTCTGAGCCTCTCCCTCCTGATCCTGGGGCTCACAGTTCTGACTCCACTGTGCTGTCTTTGAAACCAGCCCTGGAGGCAGAGGGCCTGGTCCAGTGTGCCCCGGCTGGAACCCAGCAGAGCAGCACAGGCCAGGCAAGGCCAGAGCCGGGGATGTGTGTGCACCTGCGGCCTGCAGCCAGTCACTCACCAGGTTGTCAGCAGCCAGTGAACCAGGAGAATCACCTGTGACACAAGGGACAGGTCTGTCAGTGTGATCGCCACAGGGGCAGAGGGCTTTAGAGCCAGACAATACAGGGGCCCCTTCTTTTTTTTTTTGTATTTGCATGTATCTTTATTTGGCATCAGAAGGCTTGTTTGAAAATGACATATTACAAAGTGGATCTTCAGGCTCAGGATAATGAGGTTTTATTCTATCCAGCTATGTCTACTTTTACTTGCTTTAGTCAAAGAATGATTATCAGAATCAGATCCTGGGGAATATTTTGAGAGGTGTCAGAAAAGTCTAATACCAAGTAAATACCAGCATCTTAGTGAAATAGTTTCATTTTCTTCAGAGACTTCTGAGATTGTACAAATCAGGAAATACTTCCTGGATTGCAGTAAAATTATTCCAAATATCAAGCCTTTCAATTTTAGTCTAAGAAATATTTTTGTGGGTATTTTTTTCTCTCAAAGCTTTCTTCCACCTTAAAATGATTGCTATAGTATTCTAGTAGATATGTATCTTAAATGCTAAAGATAACATAGGTTATTGAGAGGTCAATGTGGTAGAAAGTGTTTAAGAAATATTGAATGGATGTTACTGAGGTGGGCAAGGTAACTATACTGTTGGTAAGAAGCTAACACAGTGGTGGCAAAAGCAGGTATGTGAACAGAGAATTATTTTGCAGTGTGGTCAGGGGCCCCTTCTTGCCTGCAAACTGCAGGGGCCTGTAAGCCTCTCAAAGAAACGGAGGGCCTGCAGTGGTGGAGGAGGAGTCTGGGCCACAAGGGGTGCCCGCCCCCCCCAGGTTCCAAGGCCCTTTGGGGTCTGCTCTGGAATCTGTGGGAAAGAGGGGTGGGGGACACTCAGACCGAGTGCAATTTCCTGGGACACCAGAGCTAGGATGTTGGGGGCGGCGGAAGGCATGGTGGCCAGAGAGGAAGCAAGAGATAGGGGAAGAGCAGGAAGGGTGCCGAGGGCCTGGATTTTAAGCTGGGGCAGTGAGGGACCCAAGGCTTTTCAGCAGGGTGACACCTTGGCATAACTTATGTTAAGGAAAACGAAATCCCCTTGGCTTCTTTTTTGGTACTAGGGATCTGAGTTTGATCCCCGGTACCAAAAAAACAACAAAAAAAAACCCCAATATTCCCTTCTTTGGATTACTTTTGCTTATTTGGATACCATTTTTTGATTACTTGGTGCCATGTATCATTTTGGAGGTCTTCCCACCAAGATACTTGGACCGAGTCTTCAATGGTGTTGGTTCAAGACACTTCCCTCCTCTGTGGCTGCTGGATTTCAGGACAAAGCTTCCAACATGTTTGGAAACCAAAACTAGAAAGGTAACTGAGCTAAGACCCTCCTAGGTCAACAAGGATCTAGGGCACGAGGGAACCGTTTTTATAGGATCCTACATCTTTGAGGCGGCCGAACTCCAAGCAGTCACACAGATGGAACCAAACGACAAATGTGCTAGACTCCTTTTACCGTGATCCACCAGACTGTCTTGTAAGAAGTTCCTAACTGCTAAACTACAATAAGACTTCCATCCGGGGCCCGTTGAGTTAGCTCTCTGGAGAGGGCCTCTAACTGCAGAATTCCCCACATTGACCCTTCTCTTCTCTAAAACTTTAGATGATAAAAACTATCTTTCCCCCCCAGCCGCAATTAGGGATACTTCCTCAGAAAGGGAATATCGCGAATAGCTAAAATAGTTAGAAATTATTATAAGGCAGTGAAGACAAAGCTGGGCCCTTAGCATAGAAAGACAATCGAGATACATTCACTGGTTAACATTATAAAGAGAGAAAAATACCCACTGACTTCCCCTGGGGACAAACAGCAGTGATTGATATTCTAATTAGGCATCAATCTCTCTAGCACATTTCCCTTCTGGAAATTCCTTGTACAGGACCCATTTCCCAGTGCTCACCTTGTAATTTTCCATTGGGTCTTACAGTTTTGTCTCACTTTGTACTCACCCCAGCTCATAGCTTTGCCCCATAAAAGACCTTTGAAAGGCAGGGTGGGTGGGTAACCCACTTCCCGGTCCCCCTTCTGTCCTAGACAAAAGTTGTCTCTCTATAAAATTTTCCTACTCTTAAAAAAATCACAGCCCCCCTTTCGGGCACAGGCCTCCCCTCCTGTTTGCGCAAACAGGAGGGGACTCAGTGGGGGGCGGGAGTGTTCGGATGAGTGGGGCAGGCCAGGTGGTGGCTCAGGTGACAATGGGACTTTGGGAGGCCAGGGTCGGGAGAGACGGAGGGGTCAGGCTGGGCTGGCAAGGGCCAACCCAGCAGGGGTTTACAGGAAAGGGTGGGGAGCCATCATTGCCTGTGATACCGGACTCTGGCTGAGAGGAGGGAAAAGCGTTTCCAAAAGTGAACTCTTTACTGTGCACCTACTATGTAGGTGCCAGGCCCTGAGCACAGCTGGGCCCCCTAACAGGCTCCGGAACACATATTACTCCCTTTGACTGATGAGAGGTCAATTAAGTTGATCCACATTGGCCACAGTGAGTGGCAAAACTGGAGTTCAAAAATCAAATCTAAGTCCCAAACCTGTGCTCACCTTTACCCAGAAGGCACAGCTTCTATGTGAGGGGTGCTTGGGTCTCTGAGAAATGTGGGTGTAGGGTGGGGTAGGAACCCTGGGCAGGGACCCCCCACAGGGATACCGATCCTGGGCCCTTCCCTGCTGCTCATGAAAAGCATGACTTGTGTTTTCTCCTGGGACAGCCTGGGACTTAAAAACTGGTTTTGCTATGAACTATGACTCTTCAGTTGGGCCTACAGATGCCCAACTGGTAACTAAAACCATAACAGAGCATAACCTTGATTTTGTATCCTTATTACTGCAAATCTTGGGTCAAATATGCTAATCACTAAGGGGGTATCTAAAAGGTGTGTGTGGGGGGCGTCCAAGGTTGATTAGCCCTGAATTTAATAATCTCAGCCTCTTCTATCCAGATCAGACTCCTGGATAGATGGGTGATTTCTAGGGACATCCAAAGTCCCCTCCAGCCATTATCCTCAGCCATAGAATCTCTACAATGGTGAGACCCCACCTTATTGTAGATAGGTAAGCAGTTAGGGCCAGCCTTGGAGGAATCAACAAGGAGGACAATCAAGACACATTCACTGAAGGCCACCATTGTAAAAGAAGAGAAACTACCACATCCTCAGCATGAATAGCAGTGATTGATATTCTAAATAGGTATCAGGGATTGATATTCTAAATAGGTATCAGGGATTGATATTCTAAATAGGTATCAAGCGCAGGGGATTTAGCTCAATGGTTCTGGCAAGCACAAGGTCTGGAGTTCATTCCGTACCAAAAAAAAAAATAAAAAATTAACATATTCTAAATAGGTATCAATCACCTGGGTGGGGGGCCAAGATCTTCCTAGAAAGATCCCTGCCCACTGACCCACCCCTTACCATGGAAAATCCTTGTTCCTTCCTTGTACGCTTGTTTCGTGACTTGTTTCCCCATAGGATCCCCATTTGATCAATATTACCTAAGCAACTATACTTGTAATCTTATTGATTGTTCATAGTTTTGTCCACCTTGTGATTTTTTCCATTGGATCAAATTACCTAAGCAAGTGTACTTGTAATCTTACTAGTTTCATCCCACCTTGAACTGGCCTCACCTCATGGCTTTTTGTCCCCAAAACACCTTTGAGAAGTTGAGTAGGCAACCCACTTTCCAGTCGCCCTTCTGGCTTTCTTAGACAGAAGCACTTTCAATAATTTTTTCCCGTCCTTATCCTCTATTGTTCCTAGAATTCATTCTTTGATTTTAGAGAACACGAACTCAGGTTGGCTATCTTCTAGCAGGTTTGGGAGTTCTATCCTTTCCTCCATATCAACCTGACTGAGCCCACCAGACAGGGCCAATCCTTTCCTGGGAATGAGGCCACCCCTCAGCCACAAGGATTCCTGAGTGGACACCAGGGCTGAGATAAGGAGCAGCCCATATTGAATCCCCAGCTGTACTTTGGTTTTAATTTCCATTAAGCTAACCGGAGACAGCTCAACAGTCCACAAGAAATTCTTCTTCCATGTGCAGAAGACTGGGAAGAAATTCCAGAAAGCCTGATGCATTCAGCTTTACCAAGGCTCCAGGGCTACGAAGGGCAGGTCTGTGTGCCTGGCACCTTCACTGTCCTCTGCCATCCTTTATTACAGAGTACGTCTGTGTACAGGGCACCACTCCAAGCGCTATATCCAAACACACTTCACCCTGATGGTCCTCTCAGGTACAGTTAGCCCCATTTTATAGCCTGAAAAACTGAGGCTCAGACCCCAGGAGCTGGCCAGAGGTAAAGCCAGGATTCAAGCTCAGGCCTCTCCCCACTGCAAAGATGGCAAGCTGAGGCAGAAACCTGAGTTTCTTTTCCCAAGGGTGTAAGAGAAGTGACCAAATGGTGCTGAGTTTTCTCAGCCTTTACTGTCTTCCCCAGCATCATGGGCACCTGGGCTTTAAGGAGTGTGGACTGGAACTGCCACCCCAGGTTTGCGGATGGACACCTCTAGGACACTGCCTAGTGTGACCCACGTCCTCCCAGAAAAGGAACCTCGCTGTTTCAGGGGAATTATGCGGGGATTCTCCAAGGAAGTAACAGGCCAAGATGAAGGGAGTGAGCGGGATGCTAACCAGGGCAGTGAGGGAAGAATTTGGTGTGGAAGGGACAGATGGCGCCTGAAAGGCTCCGTGGCAGACGGGAGCACGGGACATTCTAGAAACCGTAGAGCAGCCCTGTGGCTGGAGTGGAACAGAGGAGAGGGGAGGAGGGAGGGGCTGGAAGCTGGGGCAGGATGGGGGGAATCCAGCCTTTATCCTGAGAGTAACCACTGCCCCTGGGTCTACACCAGTGGTTCTGATAGCTCACTTTGGGCCATGAGAAGGCGCTGAGGAAGGAGGACGCTCACACCACCTAGTTCCTCCTGGAAACCCACACCCACCCTTCCCGAGTTTGACTTCTTGAAAGACAGCATCACTTCCAGCTCTGGCTCCTGTACCCAGGCCAAGCACATGGTAGGTCTGCAGCAACAGCAGTTTCCTGTCCCTGGAAGTCTGGCTGATTCGTATTCATCCATTTAATTTTGGGATATCACTGATGTTTCCTAGAGGTGAGAATCCCTGAGCCATCCGGTTACTTCTCTTCTCTCAACGCGGGCCCTGTGGCATCAGGGAACTGTGTGGGGTGGAGCCAAATCACAAAGCTCACCAACACAGGGCCCACATGCAAACCTCAGTATCAGGCTCTCTGCTTGAGTTTTTAGAGCACACAGCGTGCTCCAGCACCAGATCCTCCTTTCATCAGCTGATACCCAGAGGTCAAGACACCCAATCCTGGTTACACAGTGAATAAGAAGCAAAGACTGGCTTTCAACAGTCTCTCTGGCCCCAGGGCCGGGGCAGGGGAAAGGTGGCTGGAAATGAGGAAACTTAACCTGCAGAGAAGAAGGCCAAGGAGAAACCAAGGACCAAGACAAACTTGCAGCCAGGTATGGTGGTGCATGCCCCTATAATCCCAATCTTTAAAATTACAGATTATCGACCAAGGCTACCGATGTCATCGGTATGCCCTTGCTACTACTGGATCAATATGAGCTAAGCAGCTACACTTGTAATTTTATTGATTATAATTTGACCCATGTTGTAACCACCCCAGTAACTTTGGTCTATAAAACTTTCTCAAAAAGGGCTCACTGGCAACTCATTTGAGACCCCCCCTGTCTCTCTGGAGCTACTCCACTTCCCTAATAAATTTTCCTACTCTTTTTTTTTTCTCCTGAGTCAGGGTCTGGCTATACAGTTCAGGTTGTCCTGGAACTTGTGGCAATCCTCCTGCCTCAGCCTCTCAAGTGCTGGGGTTATAGGTGCGTGCCACCACACCCAGCAATTTTTCCTACTCCTCACTTCATTCTTCAACCTTGGGGAACTCTTCATGTCTGGCAGTGTGTCTGGCATCTAGCAGGTTGGAAGTTACATATTTTCCCCCTACTATCAATGTGACCTTGGGCAAACTGCCTGCTCTTTGGTAAAGGAGACACTTGCACTGGTTTCAGTGTTGTCCTGTGGATTTAGGGGACGGGCAGGTGGAGAGGTGTGTGAAACACTCAATGCCACACCCACCAAGGAGCCAACCTGCAGGACATGGTGCTCCTCATTTCCCTCATGCTATGCGGGCCTTCTCTGACAAGACCTTCTGAACCCAAGGCCAGCTCTCCCTGAGCATGGTACAATGTATCCCTCCAGCCCGGGGCTGACCTTTGTGCAAAGGGCCTGGGGTAGCTGTCCCTCCAACTCTGGCTGAGCCAGAAGAGGCAGGAACTCAGCCATCGCCCAGGGACTGGTAGAGGGGGTGCGGGGGTGAGGCACAGGTCCCCGGCTGCAGCACCCAGCTGCTACTTAAGTGCCTGTGAGCAAGCAGATTGTTGGCAGCTGCCATCCACAGTTATGATTCTTAATTTCAGATCATGAAGCATTCAGTGATGTCCCCATTACTGCCAGAGACATCATGACCTGAAGTCCAAATTCAACAGGATGTCCTGCATGTCACCTAGTAACGCTGGGCCCTCACCCTCCAGTACACAGGCAGCGTCAGGCAGTGGCTGAGAGCTCTGGGGACATGGGACCTTACAGCCCATTCATTCTGAGCACCGAAAGCAAACACAGCTCACACCTGTGGACATTCCTGGCCCTCAGATCCTCGAAAGTTCACATAAAACGTCAAGGCTGAAGTCAGCCCTAATTAACCCCGTCCCGGGGAAATCCCACAGCACTGGTGTCTAATGCAGATCCTGACTCTGCCACTTATTCCTGGGTGACCTCAGTAACTTGCTTGGCTGGTTGTCTCTGTAAAGAGACAAGGTCAGGTTTCTCAGAGGGACTGTGATTAAGTTTTTGACGGCACGCCTTGGTTTTCAGAGGCAGGTGCTCTCTTCCCATCCAGTTCCCATATTTCTGTCCTCATCTGGTCCTCTTTTGGCATTTATTTTAGGCAAATCTCTAGTGGCAGAAAACACATCGTTCCTAAGCCTGAGCTGCTCGAACCAGTTAGTTGTTGTTTTTTTCCTTTTGCATTACTGGAGATTGAACCCAGGGCTTTTGTGCTGAGCTACACCTCCAGCCCATTTTAAATTTTTTTTGGTTTTTCTGAGACAGAGTCTCACTCTGTAGCCCAGGCTGCCCTTGAATTTGCAGTAATCTTCCTGCTCAGCCTAGGATAACAAGTGTGCGCCTCCACATCCATCCATTTATCTATTTTTTGAGGCAGGGTCTTTCTAAATTGCCCAGGCTGGGCTCATACTTATAATCCTCCCGCCTCAGCCTCCGAGTGCTGAGATTACAGATGTGCATGCATGCACCACCACCTGGATCAGCTGTCCTTAAGCAGATTTCTCTCCAAGCCCATTCCCTGGCTGGGTCATCACTACCCCGGCTGCTGACCAACGCCTCGGGAAGGCCGGCTCAAGCAAGTGCGGGATAATTAAGACAGGAAATCTGCTTTGGGCAAGCCACAGCCCAAGTCACGTGTAGTAATTCACTTAAGGGTTAGGCTGCTGCTTCCATTCCTGGGTCTTGGCACTGCAGGGTGCTAAATGCTACGTCACTCGGGAGGAAAAGGGTAGACAGAGTCTTAAAGGAGCCCGCACCGAGACCCAAAATGGCCGGTTTAACCCATGGTTCATATCCTCCCCGCCCAAGAGAAGTCTCCTGCTCCTCGGGCGCAAAAAGAACAGCCGAGCGCCGGGCTCAGGAAATGAAGACACCGTAGAAAACCGCAGCGTGGCCAAAGAGCACATTTGGGGCTTTCTGCTTTTAAGTAACATCTACTGCTCGTACTTCATAACGAAATAAGGACGCTGGAATTGTAAACTCTGCAAGACCAAGTGTTTGGAATATTTGATTTTCTTAACCCGACTTAGCTCATGAGGAGGCCCCGGACACTACCAGGGCTCCCGGGAGAGGCCAGGGCCCCGCTGCGGGGAGGGGAGAGGTGGGTGGAGAGGGATCCCGTTCCCGCCTTGAGGGCATCGGGGCGCAGGCCAGCTTGGTCCTGGGATCCCCTAGCTCCCAGGGGAAGGGGCGGCCCTTTTCCTCCGATGTGGCCCCTGATGCCCCTGCTGGCCTCTGCCTGTCCCCAGCCCGCCACTCCTCCTCACCTGGGGAGGTACCTTCCCCTCCTTTCCCAGACTCTCGGTCCTTCCACCCTCCTTCAAAGAGCAAATGTCCAGCGCTCTGCCCCGACGAGCCCCCCCCCCCCCCCCCGGCCACCTTGAGGTTCACGGCCGGAAGCTCCATCCCGACCCCTGCGGAGGGCACCAGCGCGACGACCGCGGGCTCCAAACTCGGGGAACAAACTTGCCCGGCCCCGCCTCTCCCGCTACGCGAACTCCAACCCCAGCTCGGACCCGAGCCACGTGACGGGGCGGGCACGTGACCGCACGAGGTTGCTAGGAGACGGCGTCAAGCTGCGCGCGCCTTCGCCCGCGAGGCTCCAGCTCCAGCACCCAGCCAGACAGCGTGACCCACAGCGTTCCCCAGGGGTGGCAGGCAAAAGTTTGGGATTTCTGTCGCCTGCCCGGCTAATATTTTAGGTGGGGACCTTGCGCGACCCCCTGGCGCCCAGAGAAGCTGGTACCCGCCAGGTGTTAACTGCTGGGGTGGCAACACCATCCCGATAAATAGGTTAGTTAGTTACCGACCTCCTGGGATGCCGATGACGATAAACTTAGTTCACGTTGTTAAGGAAATTTGTTAAAGCCGCAAGGAGGCAGATTCAAGAGTAGAATTGCAAGCGGGGCCTGGTGGTGCACGCCTGTGATCTCACCACTAGAGAGGGTGAAGCAGGAGGATCACAGATTCTGAGGCCAGCTTGGGCTGCATAGTGAGACCCTGTCTCAAACAAACAAACAAAAAACAACCACCCGCTGAGCGTGGTGGCCCTTACCTGTAATCCCAGCACTCTGGGAGGATGAGGCAGGATAAGCACCAGCACAGTTTGAGCAATTTAGGGACTTAGAAAGACCCTGGCTCAAAATAAAAAACAGAAAAGACGAGATGTAACTCAATGCAAAGACCCTGAGGTCAATCCTAGTTACAGCAAAATAAGAAATAAAAATTTAAAAATTGAAAGAAACTGGCTGGAGTATACTCCAGTTTAGGCTGGCCTTGATCTTGTGCCTGGCATGCTGAAAGCCTGGGTTCAATTTCAGGATAGCAAGACAGGACACAGTAGGGCCCACCTGAAGGGTGGTCAAGAAGAGAGCCCATGTCAATGTAGGTGCCCAGGGCAGTGCCTGGCAAGCACTTGGTAAGTGGACAATACACATAAGCTGCTGTTATGGATATGGGGTTTATGATATAGGACCTCCAAATAATATAAGGGAAATATAACTCCTATCCTGCTAGATGTCCAATAATACTCCGAGCTCATGTTCTCTAGGTTGAAGAATGAATTCTAGGAACAATAGAGGATAAGAGTAGGAAGGATTTATCATGAGAAAGCTGCTAAGAGAAACAAAGGATCCTGAGTGGGTAGTCCTCGGATTCTGGTTCTCAAGGGAATTTTACAGGGCAAAACCATGAGGTGAGGCAGGTAAAAGGTGGAACAAAATTATAGTCAACTAATGAGATTACAAGTATAGTCGCTTAGGTAATATCCAATGAAAAATCACAAGGTGGGTATAAGGTGGGACAAAACTATGGTCAACCAATAAGATTACAAGTATAGTTTCTTAGTAATATTGATTAATTGGGGATCCAATGAGGAAGCAAGTCACATAACAAGCGTACAAGGACTTTCCAGAAAGGAATGGGCTAGGGAGGTTTTGGCCCCCCACTCAAGGTGATTGCCGCCTATTTAGAATATCAATCACTGCTGTTCATCCTTAGGGAAGTATGTGGGTGTAGTCGTTTCTCCTTGTTTTGAAGCCTGATTTAAGGAATGTGCCTCTAGCCACAATTGTAATACCTTCTTATCTTCTGCATTGACTCTGGAGGGCCCAGCCCTGTCTGATTGCCTAGAATATTTTAACCAATTTAGCAATCTATTTTACCTTCAGTACTTCAGGAGCCAACTGGTTGGAACCCAGTTAAGTCAACATACCGAGAGTATTAGAAAACTGGAAAACGAGCAGGAATTCCTGCACAAACTCAGTTGTCTGGCATCTTTGTGTGGAGCCTTACGGGGAACATCTAGGTGCTCATTGTGGCTTCCAGTGGGGCAGAACTCACAAAACTGCCTGGGCTGGGTTTGGGCTGGTGCTGAGATAACAACCTGGCCTGCAGGCCTAATGGAAAGCCCTATTTCCAGGCCCAGCCCTCTAGCCCAGGGTAGCAGACAGCTAGCGAGCCTCGTAACACATCACATGGCTACGTCCAGTTTGCTTTAGGATTGGCTCCCATTGCTATTAGAAATTAGTAATCACTGTTTTGTGTACCATTTTTAACTGATATGTCAAAATTTTTAAATGTATATTTTAATGGGGTATCATGTGACATTTGGATACATATATAGTATAATATTTAAATCAGTTTGAGCTGGGAGTGGTGGCCCATGCCCCATGATCCCAGCACTCTAGAGTTGAGGAAGGAAATCACCATGAGTTCAAGGCCAGCCTGGGCTACGTAGTGAGGTTCTGTTTCAAACAAAAACAAAAAACAAAACAGGGAACATATTTATTTATTTTGTTTTGTTTTGGGGGGATAGTCTTACTGTCTAGTTCAGGCTGGCCTTGAACTTGTGGTGATCCTCTTGCCTCAGCCTCCAGAGTGGTGGGATTGCAGGCCCAGACAAAAATGTACCATTTTTCAGAGATAGGGTGTAGCTGCTCAGTGGTGGAGCGCTTACCTAGTATGCGTGAGGCCCTAGGTTCCATTCCCAGCACTACAAAAAAAAAAAAAAGTACTCAGAGGGGTCCTGCCTGGTGCAGAGGAGGAGGAAGCCTCTACAGGGGCCAGAAGGACTCTGGAAGGCCTGGCTGGGTTCCCCCTCAGTCTGTCATCATCGGATTACAGCCCTTTTTTTTGTCCAGTTACATTTGTACATGACTGTCGGTTTCCATGGACCTAAGCATAAAATTGGCCAGTTTTCCCGGGCTCTTCAGATCCTCATTGCTGCAGGCTCCCGAGTCGCGTGGAATTTTATAAAACACATCCCTTGTGCCTTTCTCTTGCTGATCTCTTTTCTTACAGCAGTGTTGGTGGTGCCCTTGTGGAAGGTGAGGAAAAGACTGCCACCTTCCCACGTGGAACGAAACCGGGTCGCTTTGTCAGAAGGTGCAAGAGAACTCCAGGGACTGGGGCTGATGTGTATGGAGTCCTTTTGGGGCAGTGTGAAACACAGGAGAGAGACCGAAATGAAGACTGAGCTGAAGGGCTTGCTCCAAGGCAACTCATCACAGGGTCCCAAACTGGGACGTGGCCAGGAGGTCTGGCTCAAGGGCGTGGAGCACCCAGTCCAGGCAGAGAGAACGAGGCAGGTCTGGAGAGTGTCCCTGCCGGTCACACACTGACACTATTCATCCGGGCCAGCTGGGCGGGGCCGGGGACAGGGCACAGCTAGAGCCAGCTGGGGGCAGGCTGGGGAAAGCGCAGCCGAACAAAGGGAAGCGCAGCTGTCTTTTCAAAAAGGCGTTTCCATTAGGGCGAACCACCCCCACATTCGACTAGGCTTCTGAGTCCTGTTTTTAACGGGTATACCTGCAGTCATTCTGCCTCAGCCTCCGAGAGTGTTGGGATTACAGGTGTGCACCATCACGTCCAATTGTGAATTCCACATTTTTGGAATTCAGGTTTAAATTGATAATGTCCCTCGCTCATCCTGTGTCTAGGCCAGATTTAATTTTTGTACTTTGAACTTAGAAACTGACATGTAGAATGTAGGTTCAGCAACGAGGTGGGTCGGTTCGGCCAGCAGCGTGGATCTCGGGGGTCGCTGAGAAGGCGGCACGCCAGCGTTGTGCAGAGAAAGCGCATGCGCCAAGGCAGTGGGCGCCGCTCCCCTCCTCTCCCCCGGCCCCGGCCCCCGGCGGCGAGCGCGTCTGCGCCTGCGCCGCGGGCTCCGTCCCGCTCCTCCCCCGGGCGTCCTGCGCGGCGAGCGCGTCTGCGCTTGCGCGGCTGGTCGCCTGCCCCTCCTCCTTTCTGGGCACCGTCGGCAGCGTGAAAATGGCGGCGTCTATGGCGGCGGCGGCCTCTGCCACCTCAGGCAGCGCGGGCTCCGGGGAGGGCTCAGCCGGCGGCGAGAATCGTGCGGCCGCCTCCTCGGCCGCAGCGTCAGCCTCGTCGCCCGCGGCGGGCGGCGGTGAGGCGCTAGAGCTGCTGGAACGCTGTGGCGCGTGCCGGGAGCGCCTGTGTCCGGAGCGCGAGCCGCGCTTGCTGCCCTGCCTGCACTCGGCCTGCAGCGCCTGCCTCGCGCCCGCCGCAGCCAACAGCGCGGGGGAAGGCGGCGCGGCGGGCGATGGCGCGGTGGTGGACTGCCCCGTGTGCAAGCAGCAGTGCTCCTTCAAAGACATCGTGGAGAACTACTTCGTCCGCGACAGTGGTAACAAGGCTGCCTCAGATGCCCAGGAGGCGAACCAGTGCTGCACTAGCTGCGAAGATAATGCTCCAGCCACCAGCTATTGCGTTGAGTGTTCCGAGCCGCTGTGCGAGACCTGCGTGGAAGCTCACCAGCGGGTGAAGTACACCAAGGACCACACTGTACGCCCCACCGGGCCGGCCAAGTCCCGGGATGGGGAACGCACGGTCTACTGCAACGTGCACAAGCGAGAGCCCCTCGTGCTGTTCTGCGAGAGCTGCGACACCCTTACCTGTCGGGACTGCCAGCTCAGCGCCCACAAGGACCACCAGTACCAGTTCCTGGAGGATGCTGTGAGGAACCAGCGGAAGCTCCTGGCCGCACTGGTGAAACGCCTTGGGGACAAACATGCCACGCTGCAGAAGAGCACCAAGGAGGTTCGCAGCTCCATCCGCCAGGTGTCCGATGTGCAGAAACGAGTGCAAGTGGATGTCAAGATGGCCATCTTGCAGATCATGAAGGAGCTGAACAAGCGGGGCCGAGTGCTGGTCAATGACGCCCAGAAGTTGACTGAGGGGCAGCAGGAACGCCTAGAACGGCAGCACTGGTCCATGACCAAGATCCAGAAGCATCAGGAGCACATCTTGCGCTTTGCCTCTTGGGCTCTGGAGAGTGACAACAACACAGCCCTGCTGCTTTCCAAGAAGCTCATCTACTTCCAGCTGCAGCGAGCTCTCAAGATGATCGTGGAGCCTGTGGAGCCACACGGAGAGATGAAGTTCCAGTGGGACCTCGGTGCCTGGACCAAGAGTGCTGAGGCCTTCGGCAAGATTGTGGCTGAGCGTCCTGGTACCAACTCCACTGGCCCTGCACCCATGGCTCCCCCAAGAGCCCCGGGATCT